GTGCTCACGGGAGTGACCAGTGAGGGAGCTGGGCCTCTGGACATAGGCACAGCAGGAGGGTGGGTACAGGAGCCTGCTTGCTATGGCAACCTCAGCAGCCAGACGTTTAGGGGAGATCATTCTCAGTTTTAGTTCTGACCTGTGTATTGTAGGATGTTGAGCCTATCAGATACCAGCAGCACCCCTTGGTTGTGTAACAATAGACATTTCTCCAGAAATTACCAAAAGTCCCTTCTAGGAGGGAATCACTCTGGGCAAGAACCACTAGCCTTGCTATTGGAGAGGAAGGGAAGTGATGGCTTCGTATCATTTCCTGGTTTACATTTATACTCAGTAATTTTTTTTGGATAGGGTTAGTATTCTCTGATGGAATACAGTTTAAAGGATTCAGATGAATGAGTAGTGAAAAGTAGCCCTCCTCCCTCAGCCTCTCTCCCTGTTTCCATCTCAGAAGAAGCCATGATGCCCTTCCTTGGAGATGGAGACTCTTCGTAACATCCTGGCTATGATGGTTTAGATCTAGGTGTCCCCCCAAAGCTCATGTGTGAGACAATGCAAGAAAGTTCAGAGTGAAATGATAGGGTTATGCGAGTCTAGCTGAATTAGAGCACGGATCCCCTGATAGGGATTAACTGGTGGGAACTGTAGGCTGGTGCAGTGAGACTGGATGGGGTGGGTCACTGGGGGCATGCCTTTGGGGGTCTGTATCTTATCCTCCGTGAGAGGAGGAGTCTGTCTCTCTCTGCTTCCTGGTACCATGTCCTGAGCTGGTTTCCTTCACCACACCCATCTGCCATGATGTTCAGCCTCCCTCTGGCCCACAGCAGCAGAGGCATTGTTTATGGACTGAGACCTCTGAACTGGAGCTCCAAGATAAACTTTCCTCCCCTAAAATTGGCCCTGTGAGGTCTTTTAGTCACAGCAGTGAAAAAGCTGACTAAGACACTGGCTCTGCAGCAGGCTGCACCTAGGCAGCAGAGTGGGCTTTTTGGTCCAACTCCTCTCCCCATAAGACTGGGCACACTTATTGGCTGAGGAGAAAGATGAAGTCAGAGCAAAGGGACAAAATAGAGGAGAGTTGGGGGACTCTTGGATAAAGAGGATTTGAGGAGACCTGGAGTCAGTGAGTCAGCACCCATTAATTGAGGACCTACAGTTGCTAGGTGCTGGGGCTTGAGTAGCAAGGTTGCTGGGCCAAGTTCCTGTCCTATCAAGGGTGTCATCAACAAGGGAAGATAGACAATGAAATGTGCAGGAAATATAAGTAATACAGCATCTCACTGATCACTGTGATGACTGATCCACAGTAGGAAACCCCTTAGGGCTTGGGTGTCTCTGTGAGTGGGGTGTCCCTTGGGCAGGAGTGTCTGGGAAGGCCTTTCTGAAGGGGCGAGTCTGGAGACCCTATTGGGAATGAGATCAAATGCAGATCTTGCAGGATGAGCTTCCAAGACAGGGAGGCTCAGGAGGGAATGAGCTGGGATGGTGTAAAAGACCAAGGAAGGAGAGGGCAGTTGTGAGATCAGAGGGAGGCTGTGGGGGTGCTCGGGACAGGAAAAGCCAGGATTGTACTCCAGGTGTATCGGGAAACCATGGGAGGGCTTCACACCTGTGCAACATGTGATTTAGTTTGTCTTTTCAAAGACCATTCAGCATGCTAGGTAGTGAGCAGACCAAGAGTAGAGGACCAAGAGGCTACCAGGAGATGGGTGAGGAGCCAGTTGCCCCCATCTATGCAAAAGACCCTAGAGGCTTAGACCAGGAGATGCTGGGAGCACACTACTCTGTTGAGCCTGGTGAGGGAGGGTGCCTGGGCCACTTCTGAAGCCGCAGCTCAGTGCAGAAGGCTGGGCTGGAACTAAAGCAGGGTCGTCATCAGCTCACGAATAACATGCACAGAGTGACAACTCCCTAAGGAATCAGCAGGCCCTGGGGGGCACCCTGTTTAGAGGGGGCAAGAGAGGACCCTGGAGAAGAAGATCTGGGCCCCCAGCCAAGGGGTAAGCAGGATGCCCAGCCACTGAGACAGGGAAACGAGGCAGGTATGGGTCCCAGAGCCCGAGAAACACTCCCCTAAGAGATGCTCATTTTAGGGGCTACCTCTAGGGAGGCCGCAAACTTGAGGAGATTTTCTAAAATTTCTGTAACTGTGTTTACGCATTCACGTTCAGACTAACTGTAGTTTAACTACAGTGTGTTATGTAACAGGTTCCTTTCATTTCTCTTTTATGTTAGTACATTCTATTGATAGTGTGGTGGTACTTCTGTTTTTCACAGTTTTCATTTCAGAATAATAAGGGAGAATGTAGCCATAGGTTATGAAAAGGGCCTCAAGTCCAGTGGAGCTGTACCAGGGCTGTGCCGGGGACACAGGGTAGAGGCTGGTCTCTGAAGGGAGGGAACCTCATCACTCCTGGAGCCTGCCCAGGCTGATGTGAGGTTCTCACCTGATGTTCTCACTGTGAAGTAGAAGGCAGTAACTTAGAGCGTGTCGGGAATGAGGTGGTTGAGAATTGGTCACATTCCTGGGTAAGTGGAGGTGAACTAGAGAAATCCCGAAGTTGGAAACATGATAGTCAAAATGAGTATGTTTTTATGATTTGCCCCAGCATCCTGGGAACCCAGCAAGGAAGGCTATGGTTGGGTTGATTCTGGATGGTGGATTTGCCGTGCCGGTTCAGTAGGAAGAGAAGCTGGTGGAAAGCCAGGGCCCTGGGCAGGAGGCTGTATGGAGAGGAAGCAGAGGGAGTAGGGATGGACTAGGGGGACACGGGAGGTGGTGCAGACTCCATATCCTGTGGAAGGTGAGGAAGAGGGTAAGTGAGATGGCAGCAGCAAACAATGGACAGGATTTGGACTAAACAATAATGTTCTATCGATGTTAAATGTCCTGATTTTTGCTAGCTGCACTAGTTCATCCACAAGAAAGTCTTGTTCTAAGGAAATACATATTGAATTATTTACAGGACAAATAATAGCAACTGAGTCTTAATGGTGGGACAGTTTATTTAGACTAATCCTCACAATGAAAAAACAATTTAAAAATACAAGAAAACAATTTAAAAATACAAGAGAACATTTAAAACATTTAAAAATCTTAAAAGCCTGAAAAGCTATCAAGATAGTGTGCAATTAATGAGCCAAACTTAACAGGAAAACAGAACCCAGAGTAGCTGGGCCCTGGACCTTCCCCTGTGAGGGATAGTCTATTCTGATAATCTAGCAGAGTGTCACTTGTTCTGATGGCCTCACTGGGGGAAGGGGTGAAAAGGAATACTCCAGGAGCACACAAGCTGGAGACCTCCAGGGCTGTCCTCAGTAGGGGTGAACCAGAGGTATCCCCCCACCCCACCCCACCGTGCAGGCGTGCACATGCCCACACACTTGCTCTCAGGCATACACACACCCCTGAAACCTGGACTCCCATTTCCGGGAGGGCATGGGAACCTCAGGTGATGAACTTGACTTATTTCAAGTGGTTCTAAAAGTGATAGTGCGCGAAAGAACCCAGGAGAAGCAGATAGATAGCGTCCCTGGACAAAGGCTTTTGCATTTCAGGCCTGAATGCATTTCTGAAGGGTTTCCAAGAATAATAACCAATACATAGTAAAAGATAAATCAGCTTAAAATGAAAGAGATCATCCTGAGTGAGAGTAGGAGCAAACAAGACACAGACCCAGGCTTCAGATGGAAGTGTAAGCATGTGTAGCTGTGTCCAGGGGAGGAGGAAGAGGAGCAGTTATCCAGAATGCAGCCCAGAGATGATAGAGGTGACCACAAAGAGACATGGAAGGTAGGGAGAAGACCCAGTAAGTTTATCTGGAGCTTGAGAAAGAGAAGAGGCGAATAATGAGGCCAGGGTGATATCCAGACGGAAAGGGAGCAGGTGAGACGGCATGGCCCTGGCCTGGCCTCTTTCCTATCTGGGGCCCCTGAGCATGAACAGCTCCCGCTAGAGGGGGCCCAGCAGAACGCATGCAGATGGAGGGAGAAGAAGCAGGTCATCCCTGCTGGGGTCATTGCCTGAGACCTCTGAGATCCCAGGACACATGGCATGGTAATGATGGCCAGGAGAAGGTGCTGGGTCCCAGTGGAGAATAAAGGGCAGAAGAGGATGAGGGCTGACCACTGGGGAGTGAGCAGCTGGAACCCAGGGGCACTGTGGCAAGGCGCCCAGCCCCAGGTGTGCCCAGGCCCACCCAGCCCCTGGTGGAAGCCCTGCAATGGCAGCAGGCGTCACTGGCTGGTAGAGTTGGGCTGATCTCAGGACTGCAGTTTGTGTCAGAAAGCCCAACTGCTCAAAGGGATCTTTGTTCAGTCTCCAATTTGGTTGCTGTTTGTAACAGAAATTTAGAAAGACAGTCTTTTGTGTAACTCCAATTTTTTTTTTGACCTCAAGTTTTATGTTCTCCTAATTAAAGCATCCAAACACTTCCTGGAATATGTGCAAAATTCAGTCAGTTCAATAAATAGTGACATTTCAGAATGTGACCAGCTTTTTAATTGGTTCTTTGCTGGGAGATTCTTGTGAGAATTTGTACCAATGACTTAGTTTCTGGTGTGAATGAGACTGAGGATCTGACTCCTGGTCTTACGTGTTTGGTTCAGAGGAGATGGACAGCAGCAGTCACTACCCTTCATTTGTGTTTTTGTCCCCTAAAATATTTGTCATTTGCAAATGAAAACATGAAAGAATGATTTTGGCCATTTATCCATTCAGCCAAGGAGATTATGTTACTCATTTTATTTCTTTCTGGCATCTAAAATATCAAGCACATGTTAGGGTCTCTGCGCATGTGTATTCAGTAAATGAGAAAAGTACATTAAATTTTAATTTTTTACCCTGAAAAACACATACACACTGTTGCTGTTGTGATCCAAAGCTCAGGTGAACTTGGATGGAATGTAAATGCTGGAGACATGTATTGAGGCAGGTGGGCAGGAGAGGAGCCTGACATTCCTGTATGTTATGAACACCTTCTACCTGTCTGTGCTTACAGGTGGTTTGAAATGCCCCGTGTGCAGCTTTGTGTATGGCACCAAATGGGAGTTCAACAGGCACTTGAAGAACAAACACGGCTTGAAGGTGGTGGAAATTGATGGAGACCCCAAGTGGGAGGTAACTTTTTAAAGTATGGTCCTGATTTTGACATTTCTAAACCAAATGACAGGCTGGGTATAACTGGGCACAGACACCAATCCTCAGGGCATTGAGATTGCTCGTTGGGAAATTTCTGAAACCTTTTATAATTGTGTCTTGGGGTACAGCTGTGTAGGATCTGGGTCATGTGTACATTCTTCTTCTGGGTTGAAGTTAGACTCTTCTGTGAATATTTGCAATGACATTTCTAATTCTTTTGTTCACAAATCCAGAGTTTCAGATGTTGCATCTGAGAGAAGGGAAGGCAGGGAGCATGTACCATCCTCACTGAAAGAGTTGCAAAGGCCCCATTTCCTGATCAGACCTTCTCTCCCTCCCTGGGGCCTGGTGCTCCTTCCTGCTGCCTTCATTTTTTCCTCTTCAGAGTTGGAGCAGTCACCTGGCCCTCTTTTCAAATACTAGGTATCACTTCCGTGGACACAGGCAGGGTTTCTCAGACTCAGCACTGTTGACGTTTGATTTGGGTGAGTCTTCCTTGTGGAAGGCTGTCCTGGGGCTTACAGGATGTTTGGCTGCATTATGGGACTCTTCCCACTAGTTAGCAGTAGCATCGCCCCCTCCCCAGAGCATCTGTTGAGGAAACCAAGAATGTCCGAGGCGTAGCAGTGTTCGTGTTCCCTGGCACTCATGATCACCCCAGGAAACAGAGGGGCCATGGCAGTGCATCCAGTGCTCACTTGAGGGGTCACAGTCCAAACACAGGTTCAGTAAAAATACTGTACAAAACCACCTCCAGCCTCTGTGTATAGTGGACATAAAACAAATGACTTTCATGTTTAGACTTGGGTCTCAACCCCGAGATGTCTCATTTTATATAGAGATGTAGATGCGCATGTATTCCAAAATCCTGAAAGTGTAAACTTGGAAGCACTTTTGTTCCCAAGCATTTCAGATAAGGGATGATAACTGGTGTGTGCCATGGTTAGTGTGCAGCCTTACATTTCTCAGGCTTTCATGCTGAGAGGGCCTGGAACAAGTGATACCTGAGCAGTGAGCATACCAGGGACCAGGTCTTGGTTTATTTTTCTTTCCTTGGTACTGGGGATTGAACCCAGGGCAGCTTTAACCCTGACCTACATCCCCAGCCCTTTTAAATATTTATTTTGAGACAAGATCTCATCAATTTGCTGAGTGCCTCAATAAGTTGCTGAGGATGGCCTAAAATTTCTTATCCTCCTGCCTCAGCTTCCCAAGTTGCTGGCGTTACAGGAATGCACCCCTACGCCCAGCGCAGGTCTTAGTGTCTAGTAGCATTCTCTGATAAGGAACATAGTTCCTTAGAAAAGTAGTTGATCACTGGGCTGAGGCAGAGAATATATAAGAGGATTCTGGAGCATATGTGGTTCTAGAAATGTGCTCCAGACAGACAGTGATCGAAACAAAACAGAAAAGGAAAGGATGAAAAGGGGATGTATGTCAGAAGGAAATGGGAGGCAACCAGAAAGAGTTCTCAGTGGCCAAAGCTGAAAATTGAGTAACGAAATCAATACTATATAAAATCAATACTACAATTATAACCCAAAGAATGAAGTATTCATGAGTCTGCACTGATGTAAACAGGTGATTAAACAAATAAATGGGGGAGAAGGGACTATGCATACTCGTAGAGGATTCTGGTTAATAAATGTAGACAGATTTGGAGAAATAGAAAAACAGCTCAGGAGTGATGCTGTGGACAAGTTCCCTCTGAGATTGTTGAAACCACCGGGCAGGTGTGTAAGGGAAATAGGATGTTTGCATAACCTCAAGAATTCTCCACCCAAATATTTATTAATTGCAAAGGGAAAGGAAGTTCCTTTAGAGTGGAGCCTGTGGATAGACCTTACACAAGGGATGGAGGCTGGCCTCATCAGTAGTAAAATGTACTCACACTGGTACCAACTGGTTGATGTCACAAGAAGGGAGCTTTACAGAATTTTTCAATCTCAGACTGTGAGAACCATAAGTCATGCCCACATCCTCTGAGTGATCACACGCTAGGCCTGGAGTCCTCAGAATTGTCAAGATCATGAGTGACCAGGGAAGCTGTCACCTCCTGGAGGAGACTAAGGGATGTGGTGATTGAATTCCTGTGGGATGGGCTGCCAGCGTGGCTCTGCGGTAGAGCGCTGGCCTGGTACGTGCACGGCCCTGGTACCACCCCCACACGTGGGATCCGGGGAGAGTCCTGGAAGAGCGAGAACACAAGGAAGATCCGGTGGAGTCAGGTAGAGCCTGCCTGGCGGCACAGCACCAGGGTCCCTTTCTCAGTTTTGACAATGGTGTGGTGACCAGGAAAGACGTTACCATTAGAAGAGGCTGGCAGAGGGCATGCAGGAGCTCTCTGCGGTCCTGTCTTTGCACCTCCTGTTTAAGTCCACAGTTACTGCAAAATAAAGTAGTTATAGAGAATGAAGAGGTGGGCATTGTGCATTGGGAAGGGGGAAGCAGAGGGAAGGACAGGGGAGGGCTGCCTCTCCAGCACCCTGGGGTGTGTGTCTCACTCGGACATCATGGATATATGCTACATAGGAATAAACATTAAACTACAAAAAAGAAAGTCCTAAACATCGAGAGAAGAGGAAATGAATGATTCTAGCTATTCCTCAAGTTGGTGGCATAACAACAGACAGGAACTGTTTTGAGAGCCTTTAAAACAGTAATTGGATTGTACCTTCCTTAGGGGACATAACCTAAAGGCAAAAAGAATTGCACTCTTTTCCGTTACTTCCTGTTGGTGGTGGTAGTGGTGATACTGTTATTCTAAAGCTGTTAGTAAACACAGTGGAATACATAAAATACGTTTAATTTCATAAGCTTATAGTGCTGTTTGGGAAAAACAGCTCAAGAATCAGCTCTTTATTTTAAAAGTTGGTAATAAAAGCCAGGAATAAGCAATTGGCCAACCTTTAAAAAAAGAAAAACCCACCAGTGTGAGCATAACTAAAGATTTGGTAGGGGGAAGTTTTTCCTGTAGAAAATTACAATTTTGCAACCTTGTAATGATGCTGTGGGTCCAGCAGGGAGTGTCAGTTACTGCCAGTACTACACACGAGAGCCACGCAATGCACGTGTCCCACAGAGGGTGTGCAGTGCCACCCTGAAGCACTCGTGCCAGGAGGGGACTCTGCTCTGATCGTGCCTCAGCATCGTACTCCCAGCTGATGGCAACTAGGGACAGAGGGACAGGTTGACTGTCCAGGGTGATGTGCTCGGCCGGTCAGGCTATTGGACCTGTGAGGCACTGCCTGCTTGCTTCAACAAACAGTCCCCAGAGGGAAGGCCAGCAAGGAGGAGCACATGTGGGGTTTTAAAGTCCTCTGAGATGGACAGTCACTTCTCAGGAATGACTTTCACTCAGGTTTGGTTTGAACCAGCAGTTAAAGCAGTAAGATAATTGGGGAAATTTGAATGTTACCTAGACACTAATAATATTCAGGGCTTATTGCTGAGTTTTTGAGGGTGACAGTGGAATTAAACTTATGTTTTGGAAAAGTTTTAGCTTTCAGATACATTCTAAAATATTTATAGAAGAAAAGATGATTCCTGGATTCACTTCAAAATAATCCAAGGGCAGGGCATGAAATGTGTGTGGGGAAACCCTGCCTGCCATGAGTTGATGATTGTCAGACTGGGTGACGGGTACGTGGAGGTTGATTGCACTCATCTCTCTGCTTTTGAGTATGTTGGCATTTTTTTATAATTTTTAAATTAAGTATGAGCTTCTGAGTGCCAGACTTTGAGTCCTGCCTCTATCTTCTACAAACTGCTTGACCTCGAGCTGTTGTTGAACCTGTGGCCTTGGTCCTCATCTGAACAGTAGGCTAATAATGCCTGAGAGGCTTAGTGGGTTGGAGAAGGCTGTGTAAAGTGCTGGGCTCTGCCTCTGGCCCGCGGAAGCCCTGAGTACTGCTGGTGAGGCTGATGTCCTCAGCTTCAGGCTCTGTCTGTGGGGACACGGTTAATCCCCTGGCGTTTCAGAGTCATGCTGCAAGGATTTGCCTTCTTGAACTAAAGAGATGTGAGGCTTGGTTGTGATGTAAAGCTTGTTCCATCCTGGTCACTGGTCACTGGTCAATGCATGCAGCAGGTCTCCCTTCCAGCAGTTTCCACCTTAAGCAGAGCAAAAGCAGTTGACACAAAGCCCTACCCTTGACCCCACAAGTGAGACAGTCGAGCAGCCAATAAGCTGGGCCCTGTGGTCTCCAGGGGACTAACATGTTCCTATTCTAGGAGTTTGGGCTCTCTGGCTCTCAGGAATGCCTTACAAAGGCAGGTACAGGATTCTGTCTTGAAATTATTCAAGTGAAGTATATTTGGAAAAAAATCCTAGTTTTTTAGAAGGTCAAATTTTTATAAATAAATTTCTAAAATGTCTTTTTTTCTTTCATTAAAATTATATTTTTCTCTTGAAAAACAAAAAACAAAAAGCGCTGTACTAAAATGCAGACCCCAGAATGAGGTGGCATTCCATGAGGTGGCAGGCTCAGGCAGGCCTGGGTCCAGTGTTAGCTAAGACATGGCTCAGTGGCTCCTAAGGGAAATGCCTTTCTTTTTGTTGATTTCTGCATTCATCAGGTATTTATTGGGAGTCTCTTGTGTCAGCCTGGAAAAACCTGAATGGAGCTGGCCAGCTGGCTGTGAAAGGACAGGTGCCTGGACTGCCGGCCTCCGTCAGCTCCCAACGAGAGCTTATAGAGCGTGACTGTGGCTCCCCTAAGCCTCCTCGGAGGTCTTCCTTTTTCTCCTTCATTGCTGACAGTCCGCCTCCTGCCTCATAGCTCTGCTCCCATGCCCAGCCCGACCTGAAGGAGACCATTGCTTTTATCCAGCTCTGTGAGAATCCTCCCCACTTCTCCCCTGCTGTCCCTCTCTGTACCTGTGATCGTCCTTCCCCATCACAAGTGCTGACCTAGCACGGATGGCTGTCTTGTAGTGAGTTTTGTTTATCGTACCTTCACATAGCTAACGGAATGACGTGAACAGCTGGGATGCACTGGATTTCCCACACGCTGGCACCCAGGCTCTGCATGTCGTGTACTCACCCGTCCCCCTCTTTCTCCTCCTCCTCCCTACTGTTGGCTGCTCAGTTGCCTCTCTTAGCCCCATGGCCTGAGATCCCGTGTTAGGGGCAGATTCGTCGTGGCACTGATACCAGTGGGAGGAGATGGGGAAGCCACTGGTAGTGCATGTGCAAGAATAATAAGCATGCAGTTCTCTGACTGTGAGCTGCATCCTCTGCTCTTCCTCCTGCAAGAAGGAGGAATAAGAAGCTTCCACCAGAGCTGGTTTTAAAATCTTGGTACTTGCAAAGAGAAGGTTGCTCTTTGGGGATTATTTATTGGAGCAACTGATTTCTCAGGAAAGCTAGGTAAATGAGATGTTGCCAGTGTTGCTTTGTCTCAGTACATTGTCTTAAAGCCCCTGGGGGTTGGTCAGCCTGTTAGAAGACCACTTAGGTTTTGTTTTTATTTTAGCCAGCAACAGAAACATCTGAGGAGCCCTCCACCCAGTATCTCCACATCACAGAGGCCGAAGAAGATGTTCAGGGGACGCAGGCAGCTGTGGCTGCACTCCAGGACCTGAGATACACCTCTGAGAATGGTGAGGGCAAGTCTGTGCACACCTAGAGTGGGCCTGGATGAGTGAACTGTGAGTGAATGGTGTTCGTCCATGGACCCACCTCGAAAACCATGGCCTGGCCTTGAGAGTGCAGGGTTAGTCTGGCGCAAGGCCTCTGGCCCTGGAAAGGTTGTAGAATAGAGCCCCAGTGGCAGAGGCAAGTCTCTCAAGGCTGTTTTTTTCTTTTTTGGTGACTCAGTGACAGGTCTGTGAAATGGAGACAATGCTGTCTCTTCATAGTTGCTCGAGGTTTTGCAAGGTTTCTAGAGAGAATGCTTAGTAAGCTATAAAGTACCGTACAAATTATTTCTCTTGTCAAAATGAGCGATTATGCAGAACCTGTGTATCCTTTGGAAGAGGCCCGGTGAAGCACCCAGAGGGGAGGGTCCAGTTTTGCCGTGGGTGCCCTTCATAGGCCCTGATGGTCTTCTGTGTGCTTCTTCCTCCTAAGGTGACCGGCTTGACCCCACGGCCGTGAACATCCTGCAGCAGATCATCGAGCTGGGCAGCGAGACGCACGACGCCACCGCCGTTGCCTCTGTGGTTGCCATGGCACCTGGGACAGTGACTGTGGTGAAGCAGGTAAGGGCCCCCTCTGGGAAACCCCTGCTCCCTGTGTCACTGCACGTCCTCTGTCCTCTTATGTGGCCTGGGCATTGACTTGACTGGGGGTAGCTTGGGACAGAACTGGTCTAAGCTGGCGCATCTTCTCCTACTTTGATGATCGCGGGATTGCGTCTTCTGTAGGTCTCTCTAGGGGCAGGGCTCAGGGGAGAGGCACAGTATATTTCAGAACACTCTGGGAACGCTTCATTTGTTTCATTTCAAAGCATTTCAGAATGAGAAGGAGCATGATGTGGACGTGTGGCTGCATCTGTGGTGAAAAGCAAAGCCCTCTTTGCTTGAGGCCTCAGCAGACAGTGGGCCAGTGGGAAGTTTGGGATCAGCCACAGAGGCCCGGCAGATTTCCCCACAGACTGCCCTTTTTAAATAGTAAGCATCACCTGTTCAGGTCCACACAGGCTAGGAGAAGAGCCATCAGCTTCCGAAGAAAGGTCACACCGATTGGCTCAGCGCCTCCTGTCCTGAGCTGGACTTCCCGTCGGCACGGGGCACCCTTCCACCTATTCACACTTGTCTGTCCGTCTGCTGTCTCCTGCTTCACTTCATAAATGACTTAAGCTGGCTTACACAAGTACTTTCAAGACAGAAACACAAATGACAAACATCAGAACCAGGGAAATATATAATTTAGAATCAAAGTTGCAGTTCATGGTGGAGTTGGAAGTGCAGAGCATGGAGTTTTGTACAGCTCACGGTGCTTCCTTGGAGTCACTGGGAAGTGTTTACTAGGTGCCTGTTTCAGGTGGTATTCTGGTTGCTGGGGCTTCCGGTGGAAGCAGTGCCACCTTGGTGGTTACTCACTGGCAGGGAACAGGACAAACTCATGAATGAACCAGCAGGCCATAAAGGGTGGCCAAGGCAAACCAGCAAGTGGAGAGAGGCAGGAAGGGGAGGGTGGGATGGAGGTGAGGGACAGGGGCTCTTCTATGGAGGGTCGTGGGGGGCACCTGCAAGAGGTGTGGGCTACCTGAGCTATCCAAACTTGACTGTAAATTTGGTTGTGAATTTTACAACTGAAAACAAGGAAACATGAAACAGTCAACAGAGGGAAGGGGCAAGCTTGGCCTTGACAGGTAGGGATGATTGTTACTGTGGCTCTCATGTGTACCCAAGGCTGTGTCCTGGTGACCTGCCTTTGGTGAGTCCCCAGTGAGCCTCCCAGTATGGTCTTCATGACTTCCCTAAGTGTGCCCAGGGCATGGCTCAAAGCATGACATTCACGCCAAGTAACTCTGCGGACAATCAGAACATTCTGGCTCAACTCTGGAGTTCTTGGTCCATAGAGCAGACTTAGTTCTCCAGAGCAATGTTTGGATTGTGTGTCCTGCATACCTCCTCCAGGGCGGTATTTCCCTCAAGAAGGTCCTGGAGGGAAGTTGGACAGTAGGCAGCTGAGTGCTTCAGCCTGCTGTGACCTGGTGTTCTGCACTAGCTGAAAGCAGGCCGTGTCCTTCCGGGCTCTGGCTTTTCAGCTTTCATTGGCATGTCCTGGGTTGCAGTCCCAGATTGTCTTGTAAGTCTCTTCTGGAGCTTGGCATTTGCATCTTGGCATGTAGAGTGCTGAGCTAGACTTGGTGTTTCAGGAAGGTCTGATTGGGTGCTCCCATCCAGAGTGTCAGGAGGACTTTGCGTGTTTCTGACAGGCCAGATGCTTTTGAGAATGTGGGAAGGTGCTACTGATAGTGATTTGTGTCTTGTTTCTAAGAACAGGATTGATTTACTGCTACTCAGGGGAATGATTTATTGAGCACCGGTGACGGTGCAGTGATACATGAGGTCGCCGTGTAGGATACAGCGTAGATGTGCTTCCAGGAATTAGACAGACAGCTCAGCAAGCATCCGCTACAACCAGTGTAAACAAGGAAAAGGTGTGTGCAGGAGGAGAAAGCAGCCATCCTGGAGAGCCTTCTCTTCTGTGAGCATGGGGCAGTGTGACACTGGGGAACTGTGGGGAGGAGCTGCCTACGGCAGCGTGTTTGTAGGAGGTCGTGTCCGCCTGGCCCAGCCCGGCTCACAGTGGCTGTTGGTACACAGCAGGTGGGAAGGTGGATGGATGGACTGATGGGCAGGTGGACATTAAACACCCATGCCCCTAGCAGAGGTGTTTGAAAGGCTGTTGCCTCTCCCAGGTGAAAGAATTCCCCTGAATTCATTTGTTCCATCATATAAATTGAAGGATAGATGAGTTGGTCTCAGTTCTTTTCTTCAGTTGAACTCTGATTTAGGACTTTCTTAGATGGGAAGTCATATCTGCCTAATGAGTGTCCTGAACCACTCTCCTCCTGTGCGTGATGGGCAGAATGGTGCCCTCCTCTCTCTGCCCCTTGGTGAGCATGGCCTTGTGTTGGGGACATCCTCTTGCTCCCTCCAAGACCTCACAGAGTAGCTGCTCAATAAGTGTTTGTTAAGTAGACTTGACTATGCTGTGGGTTTCACGTTTTGATTCTCCAGTTGTATCCTGTACATCAGTACTAGAGAGGTCAAAGCAAAACTTCCACCAGGCCCCGTGTTGCACACCTGTGATTCCAGCACCTCTCGGGGCTGAGACAGGAGGATACAGAGTTCAAACCAGCCTCAGCAAAAGTGAGGCACTAAGCAACTCAGTGAGATCCTGTCTCTAAATAAAATACAAAATAGGGCTGGGGATGTGGCTCAGTGGCCGAGGGCCCCTGAGCTCAGTCCCTGGTACTAAAAAAAAAAAAAAACAGCAAAACAGACACCTCATCCTAAAGCACGTGGTGCAGTATTGAAACCTGAACAGAGGTTTGGATGCACTGTCGTGGAGCAGATTGAAAGAGCTTTCTAAAATTCCCTGCTTTATATGCATCTTCTGTTAGGCCAAAGAAGAACTGTTGGTTCTTTATGTTCAAAAGTGTCCAGATTTCCTTCTCATATGCACAAAGCACTATATATACTGTTCATAATTTTCTTTTCCCCATGATCTACTTTTTCATTTGTTGTTTTTAGATATACAGGGCAGTTGGTGTATTTAGACACACTATACATACATAGAGTATGTATGTATACATAGTATGTATGTATAGAGTATATATGTATAGAGTGCAACCCACTCCAACTTGGATCCCATTCTTGTGGTCGTACGTGACGTGGAGTCACACTGGTCTCAAATTCATATGTGAGCAGAGCAAAGTTATGTCCCATTCATTTCACTGTCTCATTCCATCCCCCTCCCTTTCCTTCATTCCCCTTTGTCTAATCCAACCCTACCACCCCTTACCCTTTACTATGTGTTAGCATCCACATATCAGAGAGGACATTCAGCCTTTGGTTTTTAGGGACTGGCTTAATTTTGCTTAGCATGGTATTCTCCATCTCCATCCATTTACCAGCAAATGCCATAATTTCATTCTTCTTTATGGCAGAGTAATATTCCATTGTATATTTTCATTCATCTGTTGAAGGGCACCTAGGCTGGCTCCATAGCTTACCTATTGTGAATTGACCTGCTATAAACATTGATGAGGCTGTGTCACTGTCCAGTAATGTTAATATCACCATTCATCATTGGTAATTCAAAGTGATTAACGTCACGTATTTGAGGTTAGGGCTTAGCAGCACTCAGAAGGAAAAACCCTGGCCATTGCCAGGGAAGAAAATGAGGGCAGGCCTGTGGGGAGGCTGAGTATGGGGCAGTGGGGGCTAAGGGGAGTCTTTTGTTTCTGCTTCCTCTTACTTCTTGAAGAGACATGGACGAGATGGAGCCCATGGTTGGACCATCTGAGTCCTCACTGGACACAGAAGTGTGTCCTGTGGACCCGCTACTTCCCTTTCCCCGTGTGTCGGCAATGCTGCCTCGGCATTGGGGATGTTTCGGTGAACAGTGGGATGAACGCAGTGGTCGCAGTGCTCATGTGGCCGTTGAGGAACGTGAAGCCCAGTAGGCGTAATATGTGGTGCATTTTCCTGGTGCGTCGGAGGTGAAGGGTGCAGAGGAAGAAAGGACAGTGCAGGCCCCGAAGAGCCTATCACCACAGAGGGCAGGGGATGTGGCCAAGTGCAATTGTGCCTCTGCAGCGGATGTCATCAGCAGGGCCAGCCTGCCCTGCCTTCCCGTCTCAGGGTGTTATTGTGAGGAACAGGGCTACCTTTTCACAGCGCAGCTTCCTCCTGCCAAGGTCAAGAGGATTTGACTGGCTACACTTATGATAATCCAGGAGCTTTTTATTCTTATAAATCTATGTTGTTTCTTATTATAGAAGTTTTCTTATTATGGGGGACACTGGGTGCTTTGTGGGTGTTGACCCCCAAGGGTGAGGGACGGTCTCTTGGGGAGAAGGTCTCTGTATTGCAAGTGAAATGGTCCAGATGGTTTGCTGGTCATTGTGTAGCTTTTACAAAACCAGGAAACTTCAGCGAGATGACCTTTCAGTCCAGATGTCACACGCACTCTGCCCTGTGTGTGGGGCCCCACCTCATGTAGCTCAGCCCAGCTAACGCTGTCCAGTGCCCTATGCTTTGCCGAGCTCCCTTCCAGCAGCCGGTCACTGTCACTCCTCTGCTGAGACTGTGAGAAAGCATATTCTCTTAGTGAGAATGATCCAGAGACTGAGCACCCACAGGGTGTGGGCGAATAAGCCAATGGCTCCTGGGTTGGCCGAGGCCGACACATCCCAAGACGGCATCAGCAAGCTCAGGTCCAAGAGCCAGTTGTGGTTTGGGTTTGGAGGCTGGCATGTTTCAGCTTCAGACCAAAGTCAGAGAAGACAATGTCCAGCTCAAAGTCGGCTCAGCAGAAGGAATCCCTTCTGATTTGGGGCTCTCCACCACTGTGACGAGGTACCCTGTAGTGAATCCTCCTCACCACAGAGCAAAGAGAGCTTTTCACTTCATGATTTCAGAGGTTCAGAGTCTAAGATTGGGCGGACCCACGGTTGGCCTCTGGTGGGAGCATGTCTACGAATCTCCCCCAGTGACCTTGGGTCCACCTGTAAGTGCCC